ATAGCAGAACATACACCAATTCCGTTTCTACACATGCATTTCACTGACATTGATTATGTTCTCTAAGTGTGCAACCATTCTTATCCTCCTTTTCCAAGTTGTCCCTCCTCCATTAACTAAACTGACTGCCCTCAAGTGTCCGATCTAATCTTTCGAGTTGCTGCTGCCAGTCTGATCCCACAGAGAGATCTCAAAAGAGCACCATCCTCACCGCAGACACCCTTTACTGGTTAAGTTAAATTATTGTTTGGTTTTAAGAAGACTTCATGGGATAAATAGTCTTGGCTTAAGGTTTAAAGATTATCTCAGGACAATAGTTTTGGGGGTTCATCCAGCCTCCATAGCTCCAAGGAGTCTGAATTTGACAAGAATTTGAAATCCTGTTCAGCATTCTCCCCCTTTTGATCATAGTTCTATAGAATCTTTGATCAAAATGTTCAGTACCCATAGGATTTCCTAGGCTGTAATCTTTACAGGGGAGCTCTAGTGAGTAGCGCTAAGCAGAAGGCTGATGGTTCAAACCCACCAGCCACTCCTCGGAAGGAAGGTTGGGCAATCTACATCCGTAGTGATACTGCCTCGGAAACCCAAGGAGGGGTCGCTATGAGTCAAGTCAAGTCAATGGCAGTGACTTTGGTTTGGGCTTTGCTTCCAGTGGGTGTGGTTTGGGCTTTGCTCCCATCAAGACTGACAGCCTTGGAGACCCTGTGGTGCAGTTCCACTCTGTCCTCTAGGGGCGCTGTGGCTCAGAATCCCCTCCAGGCACTGGGTTTGGTTTGGGCTTTGTTTCTGTGAAGGTAGGAGCTCTGGTGGCGCAGTGCCTAAGGCACTTGACTGCTACCCAGAAGGCTGGCGGTTCACACCCACCAGCCACTCCTCTGAAGGAAGGTGGGGCAATCTACTTCCGTAGTGATACCGCCTGGGAAACCCAAGGAGGGGTCGCTATGAGTCGGGTCCGACTCGACAGCACATAACAACAATAATCTTTACTGGAGCAGATGGACAGGTATTTCTCCCAGAGAGCCGCAGGTTGGGGTCAAACTGCCAACCTTTCTGTTCGCAGCCATAGAACCTCCCAGAAATGCCTCCTAGTTTCACCCTGAGTCCTGCCCTCCGTGTTGTCCTCCCCGGTGGACCTGCATCTGTACCCAGGGCCGCTCACATGGCTGTATGCGTACATGTGTATTCCAGCTACCCAGGTGCCGGAGCTCACAGCCAGGCAAACCCTGG